AAAATAGCCCAAAAGCCTTATATGGTATGGTATTTGGGCCGCAAACTACAAACCCTAATGAACCCTTAAAGGAACCTGGTCATAAAGGCTAGGTAACCCTTGTCTTAATAAAACTAAACCCTAAACCCTGAACCCTAAACCCTAAACCCTCTTGTCAGAACGCAGTTCGTTTGTTGCATGGACGGTCGTACAGGGAGCGAAAGTACATGGAGCCATGGAGCAGTCTCGCAGTTTAGCCTGAAAGGCCGGGCAACCCTCATAATTAGACTAGGGTTCTTGGGGGTTTCCTTTAAAGGGTTTTATAAGGATTACTATAAAGGGTACTATGGGGGTTTATTATAGGCCCTCAACCCTACCAGGGGTTAGGGTTCGAGCTTGTGCCACAAAGATTATCATACTCTTATGTAAAATAGCTAGACTGCAAAAACGCAGGCCCCAGGACAATCCTTTCTGTAGTGTTCAGGGTTTAGAGTAAACCCTCAACCCTAAAATGTACTGGCATCCTCCTCCTGTCCTCGACCATCTCTTGCGCACACGCAAAGTTTAGTTTAGGTTCTCTTTCCTGGCAGTGCCTAGGCGCTGCCTCTCGTCGTTGTCGTCGGCAGCGGGCAATACCCGTGGTCCTAAATCTTAATTCGGACTCCAGAGACAAGAAACCCAAAACCCCTAAACTGAACCCTAAACTCATGGCCCTAAACCCTCAACCCTAAACCCGCGAGCAAACAGACTTGACAAGCTCGCTACCAGGGTTCCCAGCACTAATCATCGGAGAAGCAATGTTCCAACTTTGCGGGGTTCTACGAACCGTTCTGTGGAACCGTATCTGTGTTCAGAATCAAAACACTGACTAACCTTTAGCCAACAGTGGGCCTCGCACCCCGGAAAAAATGTATCCTACCATTCTCGTTTAGGCACGTATAGGATTTAAGACACGGCCCTTGTTGAGCGTTCCTTGGTTTGGTGTTCTTCCTGCATAGCGGTTCAGACAAGAGAGCTCTTGGGTGAGCCCCGACTGAACGGGTTTAGGGTGTGAGGTTTCGGGGCTTAGGGTTGAGGGGTTTAGGGTTGAGGCTGTGGAGTAGGGTTTAGTGTTTAGCCCTTGCGCTGAATCTAAACTCGCGACTCTACACACTGTGATACCCTACTTTGGCCATTTACACGCTTTCTATTGGAATGGCTGTTGTTTTTCGATTTTGCTTGTGGAAGCAAGATTGTGGTCCGTAGGTATACCCTGGACTCCACATCCCGCTTTTCCTTGGCCATTAAAGCCTCGTTTGTCGGCGACGATTGCGATCTCGCCACCTTTCAAAGAAACGTGGCGATGGTAGACCGTCCAGAATTTGTCGTTGTTGTGGTTCTTGACAACCCAGGGCCCCCACATCATAGACCCAACAGGTAGACTGGGACAACGTTCCTGCGCGTTAATCAACCCCCTTCCCTCAATAGCTGAGCTACAGTAGGGATCCTCACATCAGGCCCAACCCTAAACCCCAAGCCCTAAACCCTGAACCCTCTACCCTCTTTAACCTCGGCCCATCTCTGTCTCAGGGAGTGTAGATCTACAGTCAGGAATTTGGGTTTGGAGTTTCTCAACCCTATACCCTAAGAGGGGGTTTCTTAGCGATACTACAAAAGGGTTACTATAATTAGATGGTAGTAGAGGATTCCCACAAGAGTACTACAAGGGTACGACTTGTTTTTTTTTTTTTTTTACCCCAAACCTTGAATTCAATCACATCTTGGATCCTAAACCCCTAAACCCTAAACCCTAAACCCTGCAATGATTCTCTGCGGGGCGGTTTATGTAGAAGGCTAGTTTGCTGTTCATCCTGGAGAGTTTTATAAGGGTCTAATATAGAGGCCTAAAGAATTACCTAACGGTTTAGGGTTTAGGGTT